CGCCCGAGCGCAGCCTCGCGCGAGCCCTGGAGCCCCGCCCCCGTCTCGCGCGCAGTCCGGGCTCCGGGCTCCCTTTGTCGCGCGGCCCAATAGTTCCGGCTGCGGCGCGCGGGCGGAAAGTTTATGCGGATGGACTGTTGCCGGCGTTGGGCGCCGGGTGAGTGGGAGAGGCCCGGGCCCTGGGGTTGCTTTTCGTGGCTTGTTGGACGCGTGGGAGCAGGGGTCCAGGGTGGGGGACAACGCGGGGCCAGCGCCCGGCTTTCCCGGCTTTCCCGGCTGCCGCTCCGCGCGGTCTCTGCGGCGCCAGTTCCGGGGCCCTGCTCCCGGCCTCCCCCTTTCTGCGGCTCGGGGGTCACCGACTCCGCCTTAAACACCTCGGTTTCGGCCCCCGGCCCGGGCCTCTGCGCCCCTCCTGCTGTAAGAGACTTCCAGATCGCTCTCACGCACACTCTCTGGCGCTTTGAGAGCTCAAGTGCTGAGAATCAGTTCTTTATAAATGAGCTAATCGTCACCTTAAGGGAAGAATTATAAATGTGTACTGATGGAGGCTTGGCATTGAGGCCACACAGGTGGCTAGGGTCTCTTCTCAGGAGGAGACTGTTGTTGAGAACGGTTGTCTTACGCGTTGTATGTAAACAGACTTGCGCGAAAGGGGTGGGGGTGGGGCGAGAGACTTGCAGGTGAGCGTCAACCCAGGTGAGAAATGCATCAGGCTCTCACAAAGTTGCTGGACCGTGGTGGGCAGGGATTTCCTTTCATCAGGCCTCGACTGCTTGAGCGAACCATCCGTCGGAAACAGTTATTCTTTCACTTCTATACTTCCAGCCTGAGTTACCAAATTGGTTTCCCATGACTTTGTTAAGGAGGTGCGTTTGCTGGTGGACACAAATGCGTCAGTCAGGAGAAAGCCATCTCTACAGGTGTGTGCAGAGAAGGCAGAACTGCCTGCTGTGGTCACCCATTCCAGTGTTACAGCAGATTTCATGGTCCCATCCTAAGAGGCAAGGGTAGTACTTCTTTGATCCCCAACTTTCAATAACATAAAGGCCTCTGTGCATGAATGGGGCTACCATGCGAGCTGCATAAACTGTAAATGGGCAGAGGCATAGGTAGGAGTCACTAGTGTCTCTGAATGGGAAGAGAAATGTGTTTGTGGTGCCCACGGTTAAAATTCATCAGATGTTTTGCCAAAGAATTAATGATATATTAATGGTAATTAGGGGTAGTTCACTAGTCATCAAACATTTGTCAAGTACTTAACTATGTACCACTTACTGTGATAGGCTCTGAGGAGACACTGGGGAGCAAAAACTGACATGGTCTCTTCCCTTACTGGGCATATTATCTAATGTAGTTGAACCAATATTGTGCAGGACCTCACTTGAACAACACAGCTTGAGATTCAGAAAGAAGAAAATAAAAAAGACTGAGTAGATGAAATAGTACCAAGTTGACACACCTCAGCTGATGCATTTAACACTAGAAATCCATAGGCTTTCAGAAATGGTATCTTTGACTTTGGACACAGTTTTGACAAGCTTAATTATCTGGCTCTCCAGCCCATAGTAGCCAAGAAGCAGCAAATTGGAGGATGATTACAGAGGATTACTGAGAAAAAGTGGAATTGCAAGCTATGGTCTAAAAATTAATTATAAAGAGGAGGCACCAAAACAGAGTACAACAGCCTGGATTTTTTGAATATAAGGCATTGTTTCCATATATGTTCTATACTTCACTTATCCTATGGGACTTTAACAGTAATTGTGTAAAGAAGGGTTAAGTGGAAAACACAAGGTTAGCAAATTAAACTGTATTCTTTGCTATAGAACTCAGCATCTGTAATAAGGCCCGAACTCATGTTTCTTGAAGGATCTCTCCAGAACAGTGTTCTGCAGCACACACTTTGGGGAATGCTGGTATAAGTAAAACATCAGGAAAGCAGTGTGCTGGGCAGTATTGGTGTTTAGAGTGGTGATGTCAAGTCAGCATGAATTATGTTTAGCACACAGTGTTTAAGAGGCAGAGAAGAGGAATACACATTTTAATTTTTTCTGTCTGGAAAGGTAATTTATATCTCTAATTTAATCTTTGTTGATATTGGATACATGAGGCATTATTGTATTTGAAATGTATCTCAGACCATTCATTATGTGCTAAAAAGGCTTTTCCTAACTAACTCAGTCGCTGGCACTCATTTATAACATTGTTTCCATGAACCAATATGTTCTGAGTTCCCTGCATTCTATTTACACATGGACTTTTAGAATATCACACATTTGCAGTTGGAAATTGTACCAAAACAAGAAGTCTGGCCACTGTTAAATGTTTTGAAGTAAGTTCCAAAAAAGAAGTTAGTGAATGTTAAATTTCTAACTTGTTTATGTCCATTCAGTCTTCCCTAATTGTATATATACAATATGATTTTTATGAAGCTATAATCAGTGTATACTTACAATCCTGTGACCTGCTTTTCTAAGTTACTAATACTTTATATAAATGTTTCTGATATCTACATGTGTCATTTGTTTATATGATATTTTATTGTGTCAACAGACTATAGTTTGCTTAATAATAGAATAGCAGCAAGCTGTGTTCCCAAAAGCAGGTCTGTGTATCTGTGAACTCTTTATTTTTGAGCACAAAAATGTTTTCTTCATGCTAATTCTCAATCCATAATTTTAAAGAACCCTGTGTTTTTTTCATTTCTGCTACATTTTGACTTTTATACACAATTTCGTGAGATAATGCCAGTTGTCATACACATTTAACTTTGTTCTTTTTCTTCACAAAGCCCTGTTGCCTGGTTACATTCAATGAGTACTACCAAGGCTAGCAGTCATGGTTAATGATTTACAGCTTTGTCTAATTTGGATTATGATTTTACTAGCCCTTTCACTTTTATATTTTGCACTCATTGTAATTAAAAGGGGGGGGGGGCTGGCTGGTGTGGCTCAGTTGGTTGAGCGTCTACCCATGCATGGAAAGGTCGGTGGTTCAATTCCCCGTTCAGGGCACATACCTAGGTTGTGGGTTTGATCCTCAGTTAGACCATGTGCGGGAGGCAACCAATCAATGTTTATCTCTCATATCGCTGTTTCTGTGTGTCTTTCTCTTTCCCTCTCCTTTCCTCTCTCTCTAAAAACAATAAAAAAACATTTTTTTATAAAAAGGGGGACACCAAACAACATAATAATTAAACAAACCCTTGCACAAATACTGTTGTATCGATTAAGTTAGTAATCGTGCCCAAAAAGACTGGTTGATTGTCCAAAAGCACCACCATGTGACAACTAGAAATGTTCTTTAGTGAATTAAGTGTTGGAGAGGATGTAGGAGTGTTTGTTATATTCAGGTGCATAAAATTTGGAACTGTGAAAGTCAAGGACTACCTAAATTTAATGTTTTTTTAAAAATAGAAACACTTAAGGTTATCCTTGATTTATGGCCAGTTAGTGGGTGACTGCTTGCTTGCTTCCCTCCCACTGAATTCTCTGCAGATTTGCCCATACCTCAACTTACGTGGGGTTTGCCTGCACTCATTTCTGGAAAGTTTGGTAAAAATTATGGTGAAAACTACATACTTTTTACTCTCCACAACAGGTAATCCTAACCATATTTATTTTCTACAGCACTTTTCTGTTTATAGCTGTCTGTTTGCATTCTGATTGGGAACACTGGGATCATTTTCATCATGCCAACAGTGGTGGTAATGGACGTGTCCCTTTCCATGACCCGACCTGTGTCTATCGAGGGGTCTGAAGAATATCAGCGCAAGCACCTTGCAGCCCATGGTTTGACAATGCTGTTTGAGCACATGGCCACGAATTACAAGCTTGAGTTTACAGCCCTGGTGGTGTTTTCATCACTCTGGGAGCTGATGGTTCCCTTCACAAGAGATTACAACACCCTACAGGTACAAAAAGGAATGAATTATTGAATTGGGAGCAAAAAGTGTTACCATATTGTACTGAATATTTAGGACTTGGAATTATTTAATGATGAATCTGTGGGTATAATACCTGAGTATACCTGTAAAACAAGGATTCACAACCAGTAGGTTTTATGCCTTTGGTAGAGCTGAGTCAGAGTTGTGAGTTGTTGCCTTATTTTCTTCTCTTGGTTTTCTGGAATTCTCTCAGGATGTAGTGCCCCTTTCCCTAAAGTTTAGGATCTTTAGTTTCAACACTTTACTTCTTTTCCTATAAAACTCGAGGAAATGAAAAATAGCCCTTCCTCATAAAACTCTTATTCTGGAGTAATTCAGAATTCTGTTTCCTCTCCAACAAATAGCCTTTGATTTACAGATGCCAAGAAATAATAACTTTTAAGCCTCAACTGATAGGTGTTATCTTCCTAAGGTGTTGACTATGATATGCTCAAGAACTTAGTTCCTGACAACATCTCTAAACCGTTAATATTTCCCACAGTGCCTAGCATGATGTCTTACCCATAGTGAGCAGCCAGTGTTTGTGAAATTAAGTTGAATAGATTAATAATTGCTAGGCAGTTTAGAAATCCAGGGTCAATGTAGTTTGATTATTAAAGTATAAGTAATAAAATTTTGTTAAATTGTTTCTTCTGTCTCACTTTGTTTAAATGACTCTAAAACTTTTTAAAAATTGCAGTGGGTTTCTTATAAGTGAGTAAACTAAAGATTTTGGATGTTCAATAGTTCTGAAAGTCACAGAATTGTTGTGGAAGTGGTGCAGAGTAAGACCAGGAGTCCTGCAGTCAGAATGACTGGGTTCACATCTAGACTCTGCCACCTCTAGGCACGAAACCTGGGAAAGTTACCCAGTTATTCTGCACCTTAGCGTCCTCTTTTTAAAAATAGGTTAATAATATGTAGGGTGTTGTGATGATTAAATGCATGTAAAGTGCCTAGAATGATGTTTAGGATACAGTTAGTTTTCAGTAAATTTTGGCATTTTTGTATTTAAAAGTGCTTTTATTTTCATTATTTCCTTCAAGGTCCACTTATAAAGATATGAACTTGGTGGGCTGTTCACTCTCACCCAATAAGAGGACAGAATGAAGGGAAGCTCTTTTAATTATCTTTTATAGCTGAGGAAGCCTGTTTTACTGTTTTTAAGAACCTATGCTTTGGGACGCTCAGAAACAATGTCCCCTGTGTAACATTTGTGCTTTTAACAGTCTATGTTGTTTTCTGATAACAAATTAAAATGGTCATTTGTATCTTTTATTCGATTAGGAAGCACTAAGTAACATGGACGATTATGATAAAACCTGCTTAGAGTCTGCTCTTGTTGGTGTTTGCAGTATTGTTCAGCAGGAATGGGGCGGTGCAATTCCTTGCCAGGTAATTATCAATTATTTTTCATTGCCCAAGTTAAAAATGTTAACCACTGAGGAGCTTCAGTTTTCAAGCTCTAAGCATGCATTGTAATTTCTACAAACTGTGTTTGTTATACACTATTGGTATCTCTTTAAAAGAAGGCACTAAATCATGAGTAGGCTCAGAAGCAGCACAGTTGTGCCTCAAGGAGAGTGTCCTCCTAGTAAGTTGACTTTTTGCAAACTAGTGTTATTTGTATAAAATACGAAGGGCTTGCTGTGGGATTGGAACACTCCATAGAAGAGGTGATTTTAGGTTTTTGAGTGATAGAATTGTAAACATCAGTACAATCAGTCTATCTTCATTACATTTATTCAGCCAACTTTTAGCTATCTCAACTACCTAAGTTATCTAAAGAGTGAGGAGTCTGAATGTCATAAATCAGTTGCCCTGTAGAGTCTACATGAGCATCAAATCAGAGCAGAGTAGTAGCTGAAAAAGAGAATTGGAAGTATGCCATACACAGGTGCTGTAAGAAGTGGTAGCATATTTTAAGAAGAAAAAAATTGCTAAAAAGAAAATCATAATACTGTAGTCTACAACAGGAGTCAGCAGACTTTCTGTTTTGGGCTTTGCTGGTGTTCATGGCAACTCCTCAACTTCTCTGTCATAGCATGAAAGCCGCCATAGATAATAAGTAAGTGAATGGGCATGGTTGTGTTCCAGTAAAACTTTATTTACAAAAACAGGCCATGGGCCATAGTGTATGATTTTTATTACAGGGTCAAACAGGATTCCTCGGTAGTGTCAGTGGCATCACTGGTGTTACTGCCTGGGGTAAGGGTAGGGTAGGGTAGGGGTTGGCACAAATGAAGGGTGAGGGAATGTGGGAAGTGAGGGAACTCGTCTTCATCTTGATTGCAGAAGTGGTTATGTCACTAAAAGCAGTTTTCAGAACTGTATACTAAATAGGGTGAATTTTATTGCATGTAAATTATATCTAAATAAACCCAACTTTTTAAAAATTGTTTTTTCTTGCTGTAAAACCACGCTGTTTTATAGAGTATGAACTCCAGGGTTAATAGAGACCCTGAGCTACTACTGAAAGGTTAAATCAAATCACTTTAGTGGACACTTGCTAAAAAAAAAACAGTAAATGCCTTATAATTAATTCATTTTCAGAAATAAAAATATTTGGCACCTTCATAAACATTATTTATTTAGTAAATCCATGCATACAGAATATCTAATCTCCTAACAATATACTAAATAAATGAAGTTTTGTTGTCATTAGCAAGTAGCACAGTTTCATTTGCTAATTCTTCATTAGTTTTATTTTTTAATTAAATTTATTGGTTAATAAAATTACATAGGTTTTGAGTGTACAATTCTATGAGACCTCATCTGTGTGTTGCACTGTGTACCCACCACCCAGTCAAATCTTCTTCCGTCACCATAGTCTTCAGTAGTTTTAGAGAAAACACTCAAAGAATTTGTGCATCAGAGAGACTTCTGTCTTTGCATAAAGGAAGAATCTGAATTTGGGAGGTATTGTACCCTGAGGGCAAGGGGCTGGGCCTGAATCCACTTAGACTTGCTTGATGAGTTTTGAGGTGAACAGTCCAAAACACTGGGCTAGAGGTGGAAGTTATTAGTGATTATTTTTATAATCAATTACTGTCAAACAGATTTGTTTTAATGTGGAATTTTTTTTTAAATATGATCTTTTATTGATTTTGAGAGAGAAAAGAATTGAGAAGAGGGATAGAGAGATAGAAGCATTGATCGGCTGCCTCCTGCATGCCCCCTACTGGGGATCAAGCCTGCAACACCGGCATGTGCCCTGACCGGGAATGGAACCGGCAACCTTTCAGTGCACAGGACAGCACTCAGCCAACTGAGCCACACCAGCCAGGGCTTTTATCTTTGAAAACAAAGCGTTGAGGTTCAGACTTCTGTGCTGATACTCTCTAGGGACACATAAAAACACTGCCATTTTTGACATCGGTGCCTTAGGCGCCACCTCTTTACCTGAGAGAGAGGATTCTAGTTTTAGGACAGTTAACTAAGAATTAGTTTTGGATGTTTTTGTCCTTTTTTAAAGTGTTCATAGAAAGGTGCTTTTTTGTAGGTTTAATTAATTAGAATACAGTAAAATGCAGAGATCTCAAGTATACAGTTTACTGAGTATTGACAAATGCATATACCTACGTAACCACTGCTCCAGTTAAGACATAGAACATTTCCATTGCCCCACAAAGTTCCTTATGCCCTTTTCTAGTCAGTATCCCCCATGCCCACAACCCCAATTTGGTTTATTTTAGCTTTGATTTACCTATTCTAGAACTTCATATAAATAGAATCATACAATGCATCTGTCGTCCTCCACTTGACAGAATGTTTTTGAGATTTATTCACATTGTTGCTTATATCTTTGCAAAGGTGGATTTTTCAGTATAGATGCAATTAGGGAAAAATGAAATTGCTAAATGAGGCTGCTTAAATGAGTTTGTTTTTTTCATACAAACCTTCCCTCACTTTTTTCAAACAGGTGGTTCTGGTGACAGATGGCTGTCTTGGCATTGGTAGAGGGTCGCTGCGGCATTCTCTAGCTACTCACAGTCAGAGAAGTGAGAGCAACAGGTTCCCACTTCCTTTTCCTTTCCCATCTAAGTTATACATCATGTGCATGGCAAATTTGGAGGAGGTAATGCTTTTTACTAATTCTAGTTTGATTAGATACACTTTAGGACTCAGTTTCTTTTTTAGTATGTACGTTCCATTAGTATTATTTGCAGATACTTTGACATTGAACTCCTTTGGTTTCAGCTGAGGCTGGTCACCAATTACTTTTGAAAAGACTGTAGAACTTAATTGCTCTTTGAATGTTCAAAGTGTTACCTCATCTTGTGAAACATAGATAAGAGTTGGTATCCAACCTACTGCCCACAAAGACTCTTCAGATGCTGAAATGTTCTTTTTGGTGTTGGATATTTCCCTCATTTAGGAATTCTTAAGTCCATTCTGCCAGAAATGTTGACAGAAGTGTGCTTTGATTTTTTTGGTAAAGTAACATTACCCTGATGCATGTTTTATTAAACTCTACTTCCTGGTTTTCTCATTTGCTCAGGGAAGTTATTTAACCCATCTTCATCTCAGTTTTTTATCTGTAAAATGTAGGTAATAGGGGTACTTACCAAAAGTTGTTAGAAACATTTTGGAGGAAAGATACTTTGTCAGTACCAACTGAGGTCACCTTGGAAAATCTTTGCAAAACTACATCTGAATGAAGTAGCTATCCTGGTATCATTTTATATGACATTTCTTCTCTGGTAACTTTGAATCAAAATTATTATTTTCCTTCTCATATTGTTAAATTGTTACTGGACCAGGTCTGGGCCAGGGCCATTCTGCCTACGGCCTCCCAGTAGTATGTGGGTTCTTGACTTTCGACAGGAAAAATTTCACAATATGAGTCCAGGTGATTTTGAGAGTATGTTTATTAAAGCTGGGGACAGTGAAACAAAAGGAAGGCTTAAGGTAGGAAAAGCAACAGGAGAGGAAAAGTCAGAGGAAAGGGGGCCTTGGAGACAGGTTCATGGGGTTAGCCTGGGTCCAGCTGCCACTGTCCACTGCTCTCCTGGTTGCAAGTCTCGGGGGTCCCTTAGAGTTTAGGAGAAAAACAGGAAAGACACAAGCTGTGGGTGTGCTCTTATGAAGTCATCCTGTGACTCCTTTGTCTTGAGGCTTTTTCTCTCTCTTTGGCCTGCAAGAATCCTAGGAGAGGTCTCAGGGGAGGGTCTCCACAAAATATTCATTAGCTTTTCAGGTATGTCCTTCAATATGTGATTCATCAAAATGTGATTCATCAAAATAAGCTCAGGGCTTATTTTCTGGTTGGTTTCATTTTTAAAGAATGTCATCAAGAAGATTATTAAAGAGGGACCAGGACTGAGGCCATTCTGTCCTAGGATGGTCTGGAATATATAAACCCTTTGCTCCTTAATGTCCTTGGTTAGGAAAGATAAAACCTTATGATTCATTAGCTGACTATAAATTGTTCCAATTATTTGGCCTTGCTTAATTATATTGTCTCAGTTTCCCTTATTTCGCTTGTCAAGGAATCTCCTTAGCTTCTTACTATCCTGCCTCAACATCATCTCCCTTATATTTATTGCCTGTGCTATTGTGATGGATGTGGCCTTGGTGTGCTGATAATAATCTGGCATTTTGTGCCACTTTAAACAAATCTGTTTTGCTTTGTAGCTTCAGAGCACTGACTCCTTGGATTGCCTTGAACGTCTCATAGATTTAAACAATGGTGAAGGGCAGATTTTTACTATTGATGGCCCCCTGTGCTTGAAAAATGTGCAGTCTATGTTTGGGTGAGTATGTATTTAGAGCTTTTTTTGCCTTCTTACAGTCCATTATAATTTGATATCCAACAATAATGTCTATTTTACTATTTCTAATTGTGTCATTTCATTTACCCCCAGTTTCACATTTTTCAGATAAAATGCTTAGTAGTAGTGATTTTTGAAAGCTCATTCCCTTTTAAATTATGCATGACTAAGTCTGTAATGCCTGTAGATACTGACTTCCTTATACTGACTCAGCAATTTCAAAGATTAACTTGCCTTTGGGCTTTTCAGAATTAAAATTACCTCACCAAAAATGTCAGATTTTGTTCTGTTTCAAAATGGTCACATCCTTTTGGAGTCAACTCAAAGGGAAAACAACTTAGTATCTTGAAAAAAATTGTATGTATCATATTACTCTTCCTATAACTGTTAATCATCATATTCTAGAAAGCTGATAGATCTGGCATATACGCCTTTCCATGCTGTTCTCAAATGTGGCCACCTGACTGCTGATGTGCAAGTCTTCCCCCGGCCAGAGCCTTTTGTTGTAGATGAGGAAATCGATCCTATCCCTAAAGTCATTAACACAGGTAACTCATTTTAAAACTTTCTTCTTAGTTCTTCTGTCATCTTGACTTTTTTCTACCCTCTGACTTTTACTCCTCTCTATCCAGGAGAGTTGAAAAGAAATGTAAGTTCTAATACCAGGGTGCCGTCGTCGTCAGTTACACACTTGGGTGGGAGGATGCTTTGCCTAAGGGGTAGCGGATTACTAGTCCTGTGTGGTGATGGTGAGGTCACGAGTTACTCTCCAATCCTAAATAATTATAACCATAGATTACTAGAGTTGGAAATCATGGCCAGATTCACTAGCACTGAAATCCTTGAGGTAATTCTTAAATGATACTAAGATGGATTAGCGTAATAATTGAGGTCAGACATGAAGGACTTGGCTGAGTGACTCTTCCTGCATGACCCTGGACAAGTCACTTCCTTTAGTTCTTATTGGCTAGGTGAGTGGTATCTCCAGGTGAGTGATGGTCTCTAAAGTCTCAGGTCTGCCTGGCTAGTGTGGCTCATTGACCTGTGATCTAGGAGATTGTGGTTCGATTCCCAGTCAGGGCACATGCCCAGGTTGCAGGCTCGATCCCCAGCAGGGGGCTTGCAAGAGGCAGCCAATCAATGACTCTTTCATCATTGATGTTTCCATCTCTCTCTCCCTCTCCCTCCCTCTCTCTGAAATCAATAAAAATATATTAAAATTAAAATAAAGTCTCAGCTCTGATATACCATACCTCTCTAGCTCTGCTGCTTATGTTATGACTGAAAGAAAGCGTGCCACTGCTTTTACCTGGTTCGTGTTGCCAGTGCTATTCTTAGCTAAGACGGGCAAAGTGAAGAGTCCAAAGTAACAGGAATAGTGGAGAGGAGAGTTCTCTCCGGTTGGAGGGTGGACTCCTTGAGTTGTGGGTACACATTAAACCGTCACTGTGTCAGTCACCATTGCACCCTCAGTGCCTAGCATAGTGTCTGATGCCTCGTAGATGTTGACTAGGTAATGGTTCAATCAACAGATGATTAAAATTAAGTGCAGAGTAACTATTCATTTCATTCTTGGGTGTACAGTTTTAAGGAGTTTATAGTGAAGGGCTAGGCACAGGCTTTTTATTTTTGTGCCTTTAGCTCCTGGCTGTCAGGAAGTAGGGCAACCATCTCTCATTGTGACTGGACAGCAGTGTACTGAGCTATGTCAAATTTTTTTTGCCTTTAAACCAGTTATATTCCCTCCCATCCTTTTTTGATGATTAACTTTGAATAGGTCTTTTCTTTTCTATATAAATAAACTTTTAGTCCATGATCTTTGTTACAGCTTTTATTTAAACCATTCTCAAATGAAAAATATATAGCTGCTTATGCTCATTCATTTGTTATTCAGCTAAAGAAGGCAATGAAGGCAAATCTCCAGAGAAGCTGACTTCTTGGTATCTTAGAAGTACAGTGTACTTACATGAGCCTGATTTTTTTAAATTGTTTTAAAAATATGAGTGTGTAGCCCGGCCAAGCGTGGCTCAGCGGTTGAGCATCGACCTGGGATCCAGGCGATCAGGGTTCGATTCCCGGTCAGGGCACATGCCCGGGTTGCGGGCTCGATCAGTGACTGTCTCATCATTGATGTTTCTCTCTCTCTCTCTCCCTCTCCTTTCCTCTCTCTGAAATCAATAAAGATTTTTTTTTTAATTATAAAAATATGAGTGTGTATATATGCCTGGGAGACTGAAAGGCAATTCAGTAAAATATTAATAGAGGTTTCCTTTGATAATAAATAATGAGTGATTTTATTTTTCACCTCTACAATTTTGAGTGCTTTGGATCAGAAAAACAAACTTTTAAAAAGTAGTTTGGGTTACATCTTATATTTTTTACTTATTTTAGGTTTCCAACAAATACTTTGGATCTTTAATAGGCTTCTATAAAACAAAGAAATCATTGTCATATTTAGACTGCTAGCTTGGTTTTGTAGAGAATGTGTTTCTCAGAATAGATTTACCCTCCAAGGATGGTTACTTGGAGTTGTTGTGGAAGTGTTTAACTGTGACATCCCCTGGTGGCTGGAACATCCCTTATGATATAGAGGGATTTTACCTTTAAGCTTTTGCCTTGGCTGGGGACCTAGATTCATAAAAATAAAGTTTAGCTGATTTGTCATATAACTTAAATTCATTAAATAAAGACAATTATTGTGATTTTCTGAGATACTTAAATGAAAATTTATTAATTATCCAGAAAGACTTCTAATAATCTTCCTGGTCTTCATATTTGAATTCCCTATCTAAATTAAACATTGTGTTTATGAAATCTAGTACATATAAAATAGTGTACTTTCCTATAGAACTAATTAATTCTATATTGGTTTCTTCTTTTCAGATTTAGAAATAGTGGGGTTTATTGATATAGCTGATATTTCCAGTCCCCCAGTTCTCTCCAGACATCTGGTCTTACCTATAGCACTTAACAAAGGTAAGTTCTCTTCATGTTCAGTGATACATATGAAGTATCTTATTATCTAAAGTTATTCTTAAATGTAGGTAGTAGGGTAGCCCATTTTGCATAATTTGGGGGAAAGGAGTAGTTACTGGATTGGACTGGATTTCTTTAAAATGGAATGTTGCCTGATATACAAGAAAACTAATTCTGCTGTTTTACACTGTGCAAAGCAAATTGACATGTATTTATTGTGTGCGTATTGCTGTTAATTTACAGTGGAAGTCCTCTTTAGAAATGAGAATGCTTTGTCCCTAATCTGCCTTTCCTGGTAGGAGCATGGCGAGGAAGTCAAAGTGATTCTCAGAGGTTGCCTGATAAATGTGGAGTCAAATACAGCTTCATAAGGGAAGAACCTACATCTGTTCTTTACCAGTGCCTAGCACACAGCAGATACTCAGTAAATACTGTTGAATAAATGGAAGAATCTAGCCCCTCGTGAGGCTTCATTACTGCAGAATAAAGCTCTCCAGGAACTATAATGTCCCCCAAATTCAGCATCTCTGTGGAGAATGTTGGTGTCTAGCACTTGAAGCTTCTCTTTTCTCTGTTCTAGGCTGACCACCCACTTTATATTCACCAGCTTTCTCCAAGAAGTGTATATAGTCAATCAGGTTTCTACTCACTGAGTTATGATCACAGTCCCTTTAGGTCAGTTATCTCAGTTGTGGAATTGGGTGTTTCATAATTCTCAATCACACATCCACAGACAGCATCTTTATATTGGCCCACAGATGGCTTATTGTGATTATTGTTTATAATTTACCTTATTGTTCTTGATATTAATATTGATAACCAGATTTTTCTTATTTCTAAGGTCTGTCTTGAGTTGGCAGGGAAGGGAAGGGATTATGCATACCCGTATAAATTGCCAAGAAAGAAAGTGAGCAAAGTGAAGAGTTTGTGCAGGGGAACAGTAGAAAGAAAAGTGTGGGAAGGCAAAATGGAGCCATGTTTTAAGGGCTATTGAATGTCAAGCTAAACTGGGCAAATTCTTCCTGTTGAATTAGAAAGTCTTTGAGTGAGATTGAGCAGGCAGATAGTTCCAGAGGGAAGTTAATTGTAGGAAGATTCATTTGTCGGCAGAGTGTATGAGAGAACCTGGAGTTGGAGAGTCGGATCAAGAAGTTTATGGAGTAACACTGCTCCCTTTTGGGGGCACACATCCATGTGCTGCCTGAAGGCTGTCAGTTGAGAATATTCTTGACATCTCTGAATCTGGGGTTCTGTTTAGATGGTACCTGAAACCCCCAGAGAGACCTAGCTGAGTGTCCTAGTAGAAACTGTAGAAAGCTGATTATTTTGTGTAGCAGCGTCACTAAAATATAATTCACATACCATACACTTCACCCATTTAAAGTATACAATTCAATAAATTTTAGTATATTTACAGACCTGTGCAGCCATCACCATAGTCCATGTTAGAACAGGAATTTTAAAACCCCTAGCCCTTCATCTCCCTCTGTCCCAGGTAACCACAAATGTCCTTTCTGTCTCTACAGAGTTACCTCTTCAGCAGGTTTCATATAAATGGAATTCATATAACATGTGAAAACTGATTTTTATATGAACATAGGAAAACCAGAATATGAGTTTTTCTTATTTGTATTTATTCCTTTTATAACTCCATGTACTTTCCTTCCAAATCTAGAAACAGCCAACAGAATAACTGGAGTTTGGAATTTTTGTAGCAAATCTTGGTCTGACCTGTTTCCTCTTCTTCCCACAGAAGGCGATGAGGTGGGCACTGGCATAGCTGATGATAATGAAGATGAAAATTCAGCCAATCAGATTGCAGGCAAAATACCCAACTTTTGTGTCCTGCTCCATGGCAGCCTAAAAGTGGAAGGAATGGTAGCAATAGTTCAGCTAGGGTAAGAAACTTTGTTTTCCTTTGGTTGAGTAAAGGAGAATCAATTTACAAAGTGAAATATTTCCCAGTCTTTTCTGAAAGAAATAGAAAGGTCTTGTCACCTTTTTCCTCTCCCTAATATACCATTCCCACCTACCATCACCTTCTAAACTGCTTTTTTAAAGTATCCCCTAGACTAAGTATAGAATTAGCCTTTTAATTATATTGCTTTAGATTATATCCTAAGTTTTCTTCTATCTAGGAACCTAGATTCAGTTATAGCAATGCTGTTAACTTGCTATTAGGATCTTATGTAGTATTCACAGACTCCTTAACTATAAAACGAGGAGGTAGAAATAAATGAAAAGAGAAGCTGATAAAATTAATTGAAGTTTTTACCATATACCAAGCACTCCTCTAGGCACCGTATATAAACTCATTTAATCCCTCACAAACACTGTACAGGCGGTATTGATATTATCCCCATTCTACAGATGAGAAACAGACTTAGAGAGGTCAAGGAACTTGCTAAAGGTCGCACAGCTAGTAAATGGAAGAGCCAGGATTTGTATGCATTCTCACTCCAGAGCCCATGCTTGTAACCACTCTGCTGTGTTCCTCCCCTATGAAGAAAGCCCTTTTAGCTTCCACATTCACTACGGTCTGGAAATTTGCAAAGCTACCTGCTTCCCTTTTTAAAATACCTGTTGTTAGAAAAGAAGAGGTGACTGATCATTTTCTGGCCATTACCTGGGGTAGACTAATAGAGGAGACAAGAGGTCAGGAGTACTCAGGGAAGCGTGGCTCCATGTCTGCTTGAGTTGAAGTTAGTTAGTCCAGAACGAAGAATGCATTCTTAGGTATTGGTTTGCTTATTCTTTGGTACCCAAGCTACTTGCACTGGCTCTGAATATGAGAATCACCTGGGGCCCTTTGAGAAGTGGGAGCAGAGCTGGGTGATGGCTTTGTGTCCTTTGTTACAAGGTCTTCTCTGTGTGGGTGCTGCTGTGAATGGGGGGTAGGGGGCAGCTGAAAAGACCTATAGATCACAGCCCTGACTCCTCATCACCCCTGCAGCTACCTCCTGCCCTTGTGATTCTTTTTTCCTCTTTTAAGACTGCTTTTGAGTTCTGTATCTACGTAATTGAAAAATAATACCTGTCCCAGAAGAATGGTGATATTAGAGGGCAGCAATATGCATTTTCAGGTTTAGGGTTTGGCTTTAGTAAAAGTAATGCACCTGATTTGAAAGCTGAAGCCCATGTCGCTCAAGAGGAAAACACAGATTAGACTTATTTAATTGATGGTCACAGGCTTGATATTCTCCTGATCTTCCATCTTCTCTCCATCTAGTCCTGAATGGCATGGAATGCTCTACTCCCAAGCTGACAGCAAGAAGAAATCAAACCTCATGATGTCCCTCTTTGAGCCTGGCCCAGAACCTCTCCCATGGCTAGGGAAAATGGCACAGTTGGGTCCTATTTCAGGTATAACCCAGATCAGATTTTATTGGTCTTGACTTTGTTTTCTCTCTGCTGTTCTAATGGCTCTGGCTGTGTGGTCAGAGAGCTGGGTGGTCTCCCCTCTAGGTGTGCTGTGGTCTCGATGCCAGGTGTGCAAATAGAGAGTCCCAAGAGAGTTCGATGTTTGAACTTTTTAACTTCATAGCTCAGGGGAAACCAACATTTAGGTTGTTTTAAGTACATATAAATCTTCTAACTGCTTAGAGTAAAAAAACTACTCTCCATAAACTTATTTTTCCTTAATGTAAAATTTCTTTAGTTTAATTTTAAACCCAGGTAATTCCCAGTCATTCCTAGAAAATTTAACCCCCTTCCTTCTTGAAACTTTCCCCTTGGCTTTCCTAACATTGCATTCTCCTGGTACTTAACCTTTTTCTTTGGCAACTGTTCTTTTTCTTGTCATCTTCTTGCCTCATGATGTTCTTTGCCTTCTTCTCTCGCGTTAATATTCTCTACTGGTTACTTCATCAGCCATTAGCTTCAGACTCCCCCAAGTCTATAGCTCGAGTCCTGCTTGATCTTTCCCTGGAGTCCGCATATTGTATTTTCACTTCCCATTGGACCTCTCCACCTGGATATTCTGCTACAGTCCCAAGCTCAGTATGTTTGTGATAGAAACCATTGTCTCACCCCGTCCCTCTTCACCTGCTCCTTCTGATGGAGACCTTTGTCCTCCTAGATCCTCAGGTTCCAACTGTAGAGTCATCCTTGACTTATTTGGGCCTGTTTCACTTTCAAGAACATCTGCCAAGCAACCTATTTTGTGCCAGGTCTAGGGATAAAAGAGTTAGCAGAAGTTGCTCAAAGTCTAGTGGAAAGTTGACCAGTAAACACAGACTGACACAAGGTCAGAGTTGGCCTGCAGGAGGGGATGGTCACCTCTGCCCAAAGGACTCAGGAAAATCTCCAAAGAGGAGAGTTACCCTAGCCGACATTTGGGAAAAAAAAAAAAAGAATTTGGTGAGTGAATGAAGGAAGAAAGGGCATCCTGGACAAATGGAACACCTTTAGGAAAGAAAGGAGCACTGGATCACAAACTGGGGGGGGCGGCAGATAGTAGCTTAGAGGTTGGCAGTGGCTAGAGCAGGGCAGACCTTATCTGCAATGTGAAGAGTTGAAACTTTATTCTGCAGAGATTGGGAAGCCACTGAAGGGAAGTAATATATCAGGTCCTTCTGGCTGTAAGGAGAATAGTGGAGATACCAGTCAGGAGACTTGATATTCTAGATGCCCCCTGGTGTTGTACAATATTACTGAAATCCAAGTGAATGGTGGTAAATTAGAAAGGTAACTGGAGTGTGGATTTGAAAAGGTAAGGGCATCCTGCAGTTAGAAGACAACTGTGATAGTACTGGAGATGTGAAGGTGAGAGCCAGAACAAGGGACAGTGACTGGGGACAGAGAGAATGGGATCATGCAAAACATATTTACAAAGTAGAAAGAAGGAAAGAGAAGAATTGAGAATGATCCCAGGTTTCCGACCTGGGCTGCAGGATGAAAGGTGGTGCTATTAGTTAAAACAGAGAACAGAGGAGGAAGAGAATGTTTGGGAAGAACACCTTTTGTGCCGATTGAGCTTATGGCTATGAGATTTAGGTGGAGGTACCTAGAGACAATTCCTGTAAGTCTAGAGTTCAGAAGAAAGGGCAGAGTTGGAAACATAATTTTCATTATAAACACATCACTGTTCATTAAAATGGTGACAATGAGGGAGATTACTTAGGGTGATGGTCCACAAATTTGAGTTTCCGTGTACAAAAATAAACCTGGAGAACTTGAATAAAAATTATGTTTCCTGGGCCCCACCTACAGAGATTCTGATGCAGTAGGTCTGGATTCAAGCCCAGGAACTTGCAGTTTTAATATTACCCCCATGGTTACAATCTAGGTCATTCATACCACACTTTAAGAAGTCCTAGCCTCAGGAAAATATATAGATTAAGGAAAAAAAGAGAGCCAAGGACCAAACTCCTAGAAAGGGCCAGCTACTGAGGACAGTGGAGAGGGTGCTACTAAAGGAGAGTAAGAGGAAATAGGCCGATGAAAGAGGAAAAGTAGCAGTGATGTTGCAGAAGCCAGGAGAAGAGAGACTCAAGAAGAAGTACAGTGTCTCATACACATGTGCATGCATATCACTGAGGATGCCTTTTGCCATTGAAGCCTAGAGAAGATTTGGACTGAATAGTCGCCCTAGAAGCTGGGCCAAGGTTCAGCAAACTTTTTCAGAAAAAGGACAAGATAGTAAATATTTTAGGCTTTGTAGACAATATGGCCTCTGTCATAGCTACTAAACTCTGCCATGGTAGCATCATGTGTAAATAAATGATAGTGACTGTATTCCAGAAATTTTATTTTTGGACACCAAAATTTGAATTTTACATAATTCTCATGAATATTACACAAAATAATATTCTTTTGATCCCACTTATTTAAAAATACAAAAACCATTCTTAACTCAAAAACAGGCAACAGGCCATAGTTGCCAACTCTTGAGCCAGGATCCAGGGGCTGGGGTTTTAAAGCTCACACAGGGACAGGAAACATGACTTTGGTTTCAAATAAGACAAAGAACTGATCTCTATGAGTAAAGCTGAGAATGTGGAAGGCCCACCCTCTCAGTGAGAGGATGGCAAGAAAAATTCTACCCATTTTTTTCTATTGACTTTTCTATATATAAAGAAATTTAAGTTTCCTGTGAGAAATTGAAGCCCAAGCCCTGCACCATGCAGATTGATACTACCCATTCTGAAGTGGGGACTTCTAAAACCAAACAATACAAAACCAAACCCTTGGTGCATCCTCCAGAAACTCATACAGTGGCTCTGTGGGACACCTCTACAACCCAGGGCAAATGGACTTCTACAGAAAAAACATCCCCACTGACAGTGAGTTTCCAAATCATGTGAGGACTTTTATCTCCTTTGCAGGAAGGCCAACAGAATGATTAGCACCTTGAGAACTTAATCTGAAAGAAACTGTGGAATGAGTGTTTTAAAGATTGAAGAGTTTTAGGAAGGACTAGAAGCCAAGAGGAAAGAAGGAGACTATAAATAAGAGTCATTTGATATTGACAGGAGATTATTGGTGGCTTCATAAAAGTAGCTTCAGTAGATGGTTAGCCAGTACATAGGTTGAGAAATGAATTAGATATAAGGAAATGAAAATAACAAGGTTGGCTACCAAGAGGAGAGAAATAGGACAGTAATTGGAGGAGAACACAGGGCAGAGGAAGAGTGTGTGTGTGTATGTGTGTTAGGATGGAAAGATGCCTCACCCCTAGATTCCTCTAGTCTCCAGCATTCTTACATTCATTCTCCCTTTTCATTCTCACTGCTCTTGCCTTGTTCTGACTTTCTTTACCTTTCACTTAGATCAGAGGTCAGCTAACTGTGGCCTGCAGGTCAAACTAGCCCACTGCCTGTTTTGTAGGTAAAGTTTTATTACACAGGGACACTCATTCCTTTCATATAGTCTATGGCTGCTCTCCCGCTCCAGTGGCAGAGTAGAGTAGTCATAACGGAGACCATATTACCCACAAAGCCTAAAATATTTACAGTCTGGCCCTTACAGAAAAAGTTTGCCCACCCCTGACCTAGACTGTTGTGGTAGTTTTCACCACAGATGCCTGTCCTTAATCTAAGATAGTAGCACTCACATTTCTTTCTGATCTGGCTTCCCACCTAGCAGTGCTTGGCCTGTTACAGGCATTCTTCATTCAAATTGAATTGCTGTTTACTCTGCCTTATAGTCATGCTGTTCTTTTCCTCCCTCTGGGCCTGTTCTTTTTTTCAATGAAGATAATAAGAGCTAACTTTTTTTTAATTTAAAAAGTTTATTAAAGGTATTGCCTTGTGAGTTTTACGTGAAGCTTTCCCTTTGTTTGGTTTCTGGTTAACTTCAGTTAGAATAGCAGTGACCACTAGGTATAATACTGGTTCCATATACTAGTCCAAATATCATGCATACAAATATGTGTTATTTTGCAATTACTTATTTTTAAAGAGTATGGATCTGCTAACTTATTAAGGATACTGCTGTCTAGTTCCTTCTTGAAAAAAATATGAGAATTCTTGGTAAAACAATTTTAATTATTTTTTTCATGTCTGTTTTTATGTAGATATCCTTTGCAGCTTATCTGCAAAGAAGAGAAATTTTACAAAGCCATGGAAAGATATAGTAGCTTGGGAATTAGTATTTCTCTCTCTAGTGTCATTTTATCTCTATATGAGAAATATGAGGAATTAGATTTCTCATTTGCTTTAGCAAGTGCTTTTTTAAAAAAGTTTCTGTGTCTTTTTTACCTCAGAACAGTCTGTTTAAAAGGTCTGCTATTTACTTCCTTATTTATATTTTATCCTCACCTGAGGATATTTTTTCCATTGCTTTTCAGAGAGAGTGGAAGGGGGAGAGAGAGAGAGAGAGAAACATCGATTGCTTGCTTCCCACTAATGCCCTGACCAGGGCGGAGGATCAAGCCTGCAACCGAGGTAGATGCCGGTGACCGGAATCGAACCCAGACCTTTCAGTCTGTGGGCCAATGCTCTAACACTGAGCCAAACTGGCCAGGGTTGCGCTTTCTTTTCTTTTTTTTTTCTTTTTTAAATATATCTTTATTGATCAGAGAAAGGAAAGGAGAGGGAGAGAGAGATGGAAACATCAATGATGAGAGAGCCATTGATCGGCTGCCTCCTGCACACCCCCGACTGGGGATCGAGCCCGCAACCTGGGCCTGTGCCCTGACCAGGAATCGAACCCCAATCGCCTGGATCCTAGGTCAGCGCTCAACCACTGAGCCACGCCTGGCCGGGCTGAGCTTTCATTTAAAATGTCATTTTAAAAATGTTTAAGGATGACTACTTAGGTCTCAGCACTACCATTTTCACCCACCTACCATCCAAGAAGCACATTTTTCCCTTTATCCTTGCAGTGTGGTTTTAGTGTTCTTTTTGGTTAAATCAGTATTCTGTCTTTGTTAGATAATGTAAACAAAGCCATGTGGTATACCAGTCACGTTTCTTTTGTTTTGCAACTCTCCCCTGCCCCAGTTATTACTTCTTTAATTAGATATTTTTCTTTTTTCTAATAGGCAAGATAAATATGTTCTAACTTCGGTTAAAAAGCAAGCTGTATTGGAAGGGCACTTAGGTTCCTCTGAGACTTCAGGAAAGAGCTGGGCAGCCAGGCTGTGGGGGAGTCAGCACAGATGAGTGCAGCCTTCACCCTGGGCTTGCTCCCGGCCGCCCTCTACTTTCTTTTTTTTTCTTTTTTTTACTATTTTTTTTACTATTTTTATTGATTTCAAAGAGAGGAAGGGATGGGG